AAAAAAAAAAAAAAAAAAAAAAAAAAAAAAAGACATCTTATCTATCCTCTCATCACACATCAAACCAGCTCTCTCTGCCCTCAGTTTCCACACTAGCTTATTGTACTCATTGCTAGTACCAATCCAAAAGCGTATCCTTAAGTATACCTTAAATCTTTCTTCTGTTGCAAAATTAGTTCTCTCTCACCCCAAACAACTTAATCTAGTTCACAGACTGGATAATGCATGGAACTGGCAGATGACAGAGGATAATCTCAGAGGAGCCCAAAGTGGGTACTTATGAAAGAACAAGAACCATGAGAGAAAGAACACGAATGTAGTACCAGAGCTGAGGAATATAAAAGGGCAGAGAAGGAGATACAGAGATCAGATGTTGAAAAGAGGCCGGAATGCAAAGAAAAAGGAATGAATCCAACGAATCCAAACCATTTAAATGAAGAACAGTGAACACAGGTTCCCTGCATCAAACATCTGTAACCAAGAGGGAGTAGGAGTTTGAACTTTGAAGTTGCTATCGCTCCTGAAAGTCTCATCCTGCACATAAACTTTATCACCTTGTGACAATGAAGCTGGAGTAACCAGGGCCAGCAAGGTGTTCAAGTACCACCTAAATCCTTTCACCCAAACCTTTCCTCAACCAAGACATCCCCAGTCCTAGAGAAGAGGCCACTGCTGCTAGGACTCAGAGGGACAAGGTATATAAAGATAGGTTGAAAGATGCAAACACATACTCCTTCTCCCACCCACACACACACTGTTCAAGTAGCTCCTGACATCACATAACTCAAACTCGGCATAACCCTGATTCTCTAAACCTGAGCCAAGGACTTCTGAGCACAAATGGCAGAATGGGGCAAATATGTACACCCATACTGTCTGTTCCTTTTAAGTTTTATCTTTATAACATATAATTTGTGTTCCACTGCACAATGCATCTGGGTTTATTACAATGAAATTTAAATTTCCTTTGAGTAAAAGCAACTGGCACCCTCACCTTCACTTTCACACATTGCCCATGCGCAATGGGACTCTGCCACATGGTCCCAGGGGTATGCATATCCCAGTTGAAGAGATACCATTATAAATAATTCCACAGCCAGCACCAGCAACATCTCTATTCCTTCTTAGAACCTGGGCTCACAGCTAATAGTTTGGAAAAACACTGGGTTAAAAACCAAGGTCAAAAGCAGAAATTGGGGGAGAAAAAAGAAGGGGAGGGAAATCAAGGTCAATTCCCACCGTGGGGGGCAGATCTAAGAGCGGGTGCAGACAGTTCCGGGTAACCTACATTCAATACAAGAGCTTAAAGGCATTCTGGATATGAAAAGAAGGGTAAATAGACAGTGGGAATAAAGATCTAGTATCTTATTAGAAACAGTTTAGAACTAAATGAAAACTACATTTCACTACAAGGGTAACAATAATATTTTGCTCTTATCTAGAAAAGCTACAACTCACTTTTCATCATTTAAAAAAATCGGCAAAAGTTATTCATGGGGTATGACTGCCACAACATCCAACATGTCAATATTTATACTTTCAGATGTATTGAATTAAAAGTTGGTGCTGTCTTGAGAGGCAGGATGATTCTGAGAAAGGACAAAGCGCATGGCTCCTAAGATACCAATCTACCTGCTTCCAATGAAAAATAGAAGGAAAATGCAGACATTTCATCTAGCTGTAGCCAATCCCACAAAAGACAGTTTCAAATACAGAGTTGTGATGACTAGCAATGGAACATCTAAAAAGATTCAGCAAGCCAGGTACAGTGGTACATGCCTGTAACTCCTCAAATCACAGATGTCTTAGCTTTCACTTTTGCTGCAGGGACAAACCATACAGCATGAGAAACGTCTCATAGGTAAGAGCAAGAGTACACTATTGGCAACGCAGGAACCAAAGCAGAGAGAGGGTCACTCCAAACAGAATCTTCTTCCTGGGCTATACGCATGGTTCATCATCCTTTCTGAGAAGACATCTTTACTCAACAAGAAAAACCTCATTACTTACCTTGCTAGACCATTTGCGAGCTTCATCATGGAGCTGCCTGGCAGCCATCATCATTGGCTGGTTAATCACCTCCCCGGCTTTCTGCTCAGGGAACTCTTCATCCTTCTCCTCTGGAGGGGGAGGCCTGGGTGGAGGGACCTCACCCTCAGGCAGAGGTGGTTTGGGAGGAGCAAGCTCATCTGTTAGCTGAGAAAGGGAATAAGCAGGCTGTAAGTAAAGTCTTAAGAACTCCCTCCTAGAATTCTTTCCTTAAAAAGCATTTCTAGAAAAGCCACCCACGTAGATAGCATAAGGCCACCCACACTGAGCCCCAAGGACCATCTGCTACAATCTCAACAGAAGTATATTTTATTCTCCACAGAAAGTCAGCAGTGTTGGTCATATCCAGGAAGGCACACATAGCACTACAAGATCAAGGATTCCCAAAGATAATCCCCAAACAAGATGTGAATTCTGGTTTGGGTTCTACCAGAGGCGGTCAAAAGGTAAACAACTTCTCAATTAGGCCTCGGGTTCCTCATCTGTCAACCAACCTCTAAAATCCTGCTTCTACTGATGATAAGAAACCATCCCTCTAGTCCGAACTGTCCAGCGAGACCTCAATGGGGGGGGATCCTATTTTGGAGCCTGGGGAAGCACCAATCCTTAATTATGTTCCCAATGACCCAATTTTGTCCTTGACCAACTTAACATCCTTTATTAACATTAAACAAGAGCTAGGGATTTAGCTCAGTGGTGCCACCACCTGCCTTGCAAGTACAAGGTCCAATGTTCAATCACTGGTACCCCCCCAAAATAAATTAATTAAATGAGAAAATTAATCAAGTTATTGTGTTGATAAGCCACTCCCTATATCAAGGTATTTCTAGTACTGTTAGCTGGAGAAAATACCTAACTATAGTTGCTATTTCTGTAAATTTGTATCTACATAGGTATTACTACCTAGCTAGCTTCCTCCTAAGCCATGGAAAAACATTTATGGTATCTCTGTTGGGTGAAGGGATCAAAAGAATTTTTTTTTTTTGTACTGGGAATCGAACTTAGGACCTTGCACTTGCTTGGCAAGTATGGTGCCAATGAGCTAAATCCCCAGCCCCAAAAGATTTTCAGTTATAGTTGAGTAAAATTAACTTAAATGTTCCTTTTGTTACTAGAAAGGAAAAAACAAAAGAAAATTCCTACACGAGATTCTAAACACCTCAGCTTTACCATTAAAAATTGGGAACACATAAAATATCCTTACCAGAAGCTGTGCAGATTATTTTACCACCCCTTACTACCTTATCACATATCACATCCACACTCACCAAAGCCAGCTCCTCTGCCCCAGGCACGCCCCTCACAGCAGACCAATCCCACAGATGCCCTCCAAACTCTACATAAGCACTTGGGTGTGACTGCACTAAATTCAGGAAGGAAAATAAAAGATCTGCCTCCAACTAAACTTCAAGTCACCTGGTTCTGCAGTCTACCTCTTTCTTGTTGCAACCGCAACACCTTGGTGCTCAGTTCTCCCCATCTCTCTAAATTTACTTACACGAAGCTGTTCAAGGTCTGGTGGTGGAGGCGGGAAGTCAGGTTCCTGAGGTTGGAAGGCTTCTCTGACCTTGGCCACGGCTCCCAGGATCCGATATCCTGAGTCCAGGAAGCTCTTCTGCAGGCCTAAACACAAGACACTCTCGCTTTCACCTGGGCAGGTCAGTGCCCAGAAGCACTGTCTGCCCAGCTGGTTTCCATTGACAAAAGTTGGATGTGAAGCTGCCAGTAAGCATCACAGGCAGTGACTGAAGGGGATGGAATGTAGGGCAAGTCAAATGCCCTGCAGCTTCCAAAGAATAGGAAGGGTCACAGACTGTTGCTATGGTATTCGGGGTACCTTCTGGCTGTACAGCTAGCAAATGCTTAGGGGATTCCTGGTGTAGATGCTCTGACCTCGCCCATCCCATGGTCTTATGAAGAGGCAGTAAGTCCGTTTATCACAGAACCTGGGAGACATCAGGATTGGGCGCACATTTCCTGAAGCACTTCTCACCTTTCTACTCCCTTTGCTCTACTTGGCATTCAGCAGGTTAACCCTTAAATGCTGTGTCTAGTCACTTGGAACTCAGGAATCTACTCAAAGTTAGAAACCCCAATTAGAAAACCAAGCATGTTTTAGTGACGGCAGACTATTAGAAAGATTACGCCTGGGCCAGGGATGAAGAGGACAGCCCCTTCTTCCCACTCTCTCACTGACTTCTACTCATAGTCAAGATTAGAAATTCTGGGCTGGGGATTTAGCTCAGCAGTTCGGTGGCCTGCCTTGTAAGCGCAAGGACCCGAGTTCAATCCCCGGTACCAAAAAAAACAAGAAATACTGAGTATTAAAACAGGAAAGAATTCAGATTATTCTAACCAAAGGAGTGGCTCCAACTATGTTCCATTTTAGTGGTATTGAAAATATGAGTATAATCCAGCTGGGAAAAAAAACTAGATTTTTTTTTTTTTTTTTTTTTTTTTTT